AGGAGTGGCTGGTGGGTTTGAACCGCCAGCCGTCTGGTTAGCAGGCAAGTGTCTTAGCCACTATGCTAGTATGTTTAAACTTCCAGCTTTCCAGTTAGCAGCTCAGAATGTAACCACTGTGTCACCAAGGCTCCTTACTGGCATTATAGAACAGAAGACATCAAAACAACTCACTGTTGCCAAATTGAACCTTTAAGAGATAGCATATCCTATTCAACAATTCCTTTGCTTATAGTAATGGTTCATGTAGATTCTTTATCCTGAAACTATAAATTAAATTGTATATAATATCGATAAACTATTTCTGAAGTATTTTTAAAAAGCTAGAAATTTATTTCAGAGAGTTACATTACTTTGTAGTTCTAGTTGCCAATTTTCTTGCAAATTATTTTTGAAATTGTCTACACACAGCTGTCATCAGGGAAAATGTAATTTTTTCTTAGAAGGATAGGCTGCAAACAGCAGAATAAGATTATTTTTGAGAAACTTCATGTGTCATTTTGAGTGGAAGCTGAATTCAGCTATAAAGCTAAGCCCCCGTGTAATTTATTCCCATTGCAGGCACTTTAACTGCACTTCGGATGTGTTACCAAGGTTATGGTTACCCTTTGATGCTGTTTTTGGAAGAAGGAGGAGTGGTGACTGTCTGCAAAATCAATACTCAGGAGCCTGAGGAGACTTTGGACTTTGATTTCTGCAGCACCAATGTTATTAACAAAATCATTCTGCAGTCAGAGGGTCTCCGTGAAGCATTTTCCGAATTAGATATGACAAGTGAGGTCCTACAGATCACTATGTCTCCTGACAAGCCTTATTTCAGGTACCTGGAAAGCAGTGAATTATAGTTAACGTGGTATATACTCTATTTCTTCACTTAGAAGTTTGCTTGGGATGGGGAATTTTATTATCCAAAATCAAAAACCAAACTCACTGCCACTGAGATGATTCCAACTCATAATGACCATTTAGGACAGAGTAGTACTGCCCAAAGGGTTTCCAAGGCTGTAAGGTTTATGGAAGTAGGCTTTCTCCCATAGGGCAGCTAGTAGGCTTAAACCACTAACCTTCTGGTTAGCAGTCAAATTCTTTAACCACCGCATCAACAGAGCACCTTTCCCGCCCCCCCAAATTATCCAAGTTCCTAGAATTTTCCGAAGTTTAAGGGGCTTTTAATTCTACCTTATAGTTTTACAGAACTAGAAATTTAAGATGCAGGCAAATTAACCCATTCTTTTTCTAGGTAGTGTTGGTTTCTAGATGAGAAGTCCAGTCCTGGTTCATAAATTAGTGGTCTTTTCATTATTATTATTTTTTAATTGTGATTTGGGTGAGCATTTACACAGCAAATTCATTTTCCATACAGTAGTTCACATACACTTTGTTTCATGACATTGACTATAATTTACCCTAATGCAACAGCTCCCTTCCTACTTCCTCCTGATAGTTACCTCTTCCCTGTGTCCATCCCTCCATGCACTCCTGCCCCCTGAGCTGTCTCCCTGTGCATAAGCAGCCCTTCTTTCTCTTATGATTGTTCTCTCCAAGGAGTGTATCTACCTCAGGTAAACGTTCAGCTCATATGCCTGTCTTTTGTTTGGCCGGAAGCCACAGGTATAGGTTCAGTTCCAGACCTGAAGGGCAGTTAGAGGCCATTGTCTCAGTGGTTCCACGAGGCTCTATCAGACCAGCAAACCTGGTCCCCCCCCTTTTTTATTTTTTGGTTTTTCCATTATTGTACTACGTCCTATTGTAGATCAGGTTACATATGAGGAAAATTGGGCTTAAAGTTTTGGAAAAGACATTTGTATTATGTTGTTGTTGTTGTTAAGTGCCATCGAGTCGTTTCCGACTCATAGCGACCCCATGCACAGCAGAACGAACCACTGCCCAATCCTGCGCCAGCCCCACAATCCCTGCTATACTTGAGCCCATCATCGCAGCCACCGTGTCAATCCCATCTCGTTGAAGGCCTCCCCCTCTTTCGTTGACCCTCCACCCTACCAAGCATGACATTCTTCTCCAAGGAATGGTCCCTTCTAACAACATGACCAAAATAGGTGAGACGAAGTCTGGCCATTCTTGCTTCCAAGGAGCATTCTGGCTGCACTTCCACCAGGACAGATCTGTTAGTTCTTTT